ACATTATGGGTTTTTTACTGTGAATATTATTCTATCTGTTTGAGTTACAAGACTTGCTAGTTACAAGACTCATTAGTAATTAATATTCTCATGCTATTATTGTTGTTAGATGGTATCAAGTCAGTTCCAGCTCATAGAGACCCTGTGTACAACAGAATGAAACATCACCCCATGCCACCCCCACAACTATTCTGATTTTTCAGCCCTGTCAGTCCACCTTGTTGAAGTCTTTCTCTTTTTTCACTACTCCTCGACTTTCCCGAGCACGATGTCCTTGTCCAGGGTCTGGTCTCTCCCGATAATCTGTCCAAAGTATGTGACACGAAGTCTCGCCATCCTGGCTTCAAAGGAGTAGTCAGCAGTACATTTCGAGTGTCGGGTCTGTTTGTTCTTGTGGCAGTCCATGGGCTTTTCAATCTTCTTCACCAGCACCACAATTCCAATGTTTCGATTCTTCTTTGCTCTTCCTTATTCACTAACTTAGGTTTTCATACGAGACGATTGAAAATAAGATGGCTTGGGTCAGGCACGCTTTAGTCTTGAGAGTAACATCCTTGCTTTTCAACACTTCCCAGCGGTCTCACGCAGCAGGTCTACCCAGTGCAGTGCATTGTGTGCTCTCTTGCCTGCTGCTTCCACGAGCAGATTGTGGATCCAACCAAGATGACGTCTTTGACAACTTCAGTCTTTTCTCTGTTTAGCATGATGTGACCTATCGGTCAAGTTGTGAGGATTTTGGTTTTCTTCACATTGAGTTGTGATTTTTATTGAAGGCTGCAATCCTTGATCTTCATCAGCAAGTGCTTCAAGTCCTCCTCACTTTCAGCAAGCCAGTTGTGGCATCTGCAGATCTCTGGTTGCCAATAAGCCTTCCTCCAAACCTGATGGTTCATTCTTCTTCATGTCATCCAGCTTCTCTGATGATTTGCTCAGCATATAGATTACACACATATGTGTAGAGGATACAACCTCGACACACACTTTTCTTGAATTTAAACTGGGTAGTCTCCCCTTGTTCTGTTTGCACAACTGCCTTTTGATCCAGGTACAAGTTCCAAATGAACACATTGAAGTGTTCTGGTATTCCCATTCTTCTCATAGTTATCCACAGTTTGTTATGATCCACAAAGTCGAATGCCCTTGGTAGTGAATAAAACACAAGTAGACATCTTTCTGGGATTCTCTGCTTTGAACCAAGATCCATCTGGCATTAACCATCTGACATTAGCAATGATATCCCTTGTTCCACATCCTCTTCTGAATCCAGTCTGAACCTCTGCCAGATCCTTGTCAATACACTGTTCCAACAGTTGTTGGATGACCCTCAGCAATATTTTACTTTCATGTGATGTTAATTATATTATCATATAATGTGTGCATTCTGTTGGGTCAGAATGGGGTACATAGTGGATCTCTTGGGAGGGGTACAAAGTGGATCTCTTGCAGTCAGTGGCCAAAATAGCTGTCTTCCAAATTTCCTGGCATTGATGAGTGAGTGCTTCCAGCGCTTCATCAGCTCAGTATGATATTTCAGTTGGTGTTCCATCAACTCCCGGAGCCTGGTTTTTGGCGAACATTCTTCAGCGCAGCTTGACTTCTTCTTTCGGCACCACTGGTTCTTGATCATATGTTGCTTCTTGAGATCGTTGGATGTCCACTCCTACTGTGATACTGGAAGCTATGTCACTGCTATTTCAGATGCCAGAAGGGTATCTGAACAGGGTTCAGCAGAACTTCCAGACTAACAATAGATGATGAAGAAGGAAGAAGCTGTCCACTTCAGAGGAATTAGCCACTGCAAACCACATGGATAGCATATTCTCATAGAATTTGTTAAAAATGGCAGAGTGCTAAGTTTTTCCAAGTATTAAACTCCAAGTAATGTCACAACTTAAATTATGATATGTAAAAATAAATCTAAAAGGCCTTTAAGTTCCTTCAAAGTTGTTTCATGTTAGTTTATAATATCAAGTAGGTTCTTATTTGAAGGTTTAGTTTGAGGGGCAGAGTTTTGTAAAGAATGACATACAACCTGGATTTTGGGTATCAGGGTGGCTCATAGAATAAAAAAAAAGGAAGTTTTAGCTTAGTGATTAAGAATAAAGGACTATAATCAGAAGGTTGAGATCACGATTTCTGGCCTGTCACTTTCACTTTGTAAAACCCAGTATCTTTTGTAAAATGCAGATGACAGTAATAACACCTACATCCTAAGATTGTTAGGGAGATTAAATGAGAGGACGGCACAAAGTCACCAATGAATGTTGGTATTTCTTAATTTAAGATCTTCTCCACTCCCATGCAGTGGTGGGTTGCCACAGCCTGGTCAAGTTAGAGAGAAATTCCCATCAGAACACGTGTTAATTAGACTGGCATTATAGATGGAGGAGATGGCATCTACTCGTGTTTGTGTATGTGCGTTGTGCTTTTATTGACATGCTGATTACTTATATCTATGCACTTGGCATTCCATCACTAACATGTCACAGATGTCAAAGTAATTTTCATTGTCCAGCTCCTGCCTCTCTCTTCTAGAAGATTCCCCTACCTATCCTCATTACTGAAAGAGCACTGACATCACGGACACAACTCTGGAAACCAGGAGACGTAGGCTATGTCTGCTTTCTGGTCTACTCTGTCTCTCACATTTCTTTTAGAAAAGTGAAATGGGACTATCCAATTGCTACCCTTGAGGAGACCCTCCAAATAGTAACCAAACTCTACCATCTCTTTAAGAGACATCTAAGTGCTTTGTTTTGTTTTGAGAAGTCAGACATGTAATTAGAGAGCTGTGTGCACAGAATCATGGATGTGCATTGCTTGAGATAATTAGCAAGAACTAAAAAGTTTTCCCAATAGCAGACACTGACCAAATGAAATACTAGATGGTGCTTAAGTGCTAGTACTTGTTTGCTGCGTGACAGCAAGCTTGGATCTTTCAGCAGTTACATTTGAAGTTTAGCATAATTCGCTATCTCAATGTTCTTCTAACAATGTATTCTGCCAAAATTAAGCCCAGAGACTAGGCCATTACAAGGAAAGGCTGACAAAGAAAAGTGGCTATGTCAATAGCTTCCACACATTGACTAAGGTTTGAATCATATCTAATTCCCCTTAGCCAAGCAAATCCCCTCATTACTGACTCAGCACTGTAGTCATAAACACATGGAGATCGCTTATATACTGGACTTCTGATCATGTGGTCCATTGTTGGCAAATCTTGGATTTCTCCGTCCTCGATGATTCTCAAGGACTAACAGTCTATGAGTCTAAGTCATAGATTATCCGTTTTCTCTCCTTGATCCTCTCTAAAATTAGACAGCTATTGAAGAATATCATGCCACACACCCCTTCCTTTACCATTAATGGGCTCTCTCCATCACAAGTGTATTACCTTTGACCACTGAGGGCAAAGTAAAATGTTCTAAGTAGTAAAAACAAAAATGCAGAATGTACAGGAGATATTAATAAAACATAAGAAGGAACTTTAGATTAGGAAAGCAGATTTTTTTTTTTGAGGCCAGTACTTGGAGCTAAGCCATCTGCATGCGAATTATTTTCATTTTCTGCTAATTGTTTACGGGGCTGAGGATTATATTAGTCCCATGGCATTCACATTCACACACACACACACACACACACACACACACACACACACACACACGTAGCCTCCGGCTGCTCTTTTTTCCTTTCCAGTTGACCAGACAAACTCCATTCCATTCTTCAAGATTCCACTCAAAGTTGCTTGTCATCATAGATCTCTCTCTTTCCTTTTTCGACCCAAAGTATCTTCCTCACCTGTGTCCCCATACCATGCGCTTCAAATGACAGTGCCAGCCACATGTCATTGTGGGGAAAAGATGAGACTGTCTGCCCCAAGGTTTATAACACCTTGAAAACCCTATATAGGGTGGCTGTCACTCCATGGTGGTAGACTTGGTTACAGTTCATACTCAGCATTCTCCTTCTACCCCTGCTACCATGTGTTCATTTACATACACACAAAGAGTCTCCAGTTGGGGGTGAGACCTGCTGCCAAGTGCCTTTAAGTTGAATTTAAAAGTAAGTTGGAATAGTAAATTGGTTCTCAGTCAGCTTTACTTAGTGCAAGAGAAGAAAGACTTTCAGTGACTGGTAAGTGGTGAGCACAGCAAGGGAAAGTGACTTTTACAAAGAATTTGTTGTGGACAAGGGTTCGTTCAGTTGTTTCCAAGATTTACATAATATTCAAGGGCCATGAGCTGTCTGTCAGTGGGATATGCAGAGCTGGCGATGTACTGTCTCTTAGCCTCTGATCTAGCAAACTCGGATGGTGCACATGTTAAGCCCTGGGCTACTCACTGTCCAGGACGGAAGCATAAATTTATTCAGAAGAAAGGCTTGCTGATGCCCTCCAGGAAGCTCACACCATCGGAAGCCCTAGGTGTAAGGTCCATGAGCTGGAATGGTCCCAACGGCAGTGGGTTGGTTTCTTGTGCTTTGAGCATCTAGTGCAGTGGTTCTCAACCTTCCTAATGCCACCACCCTTTAATATAGTTCCTCATGTTGTGGTGACCCCCCAACCATAAAGTTATTTTCCTTGCTACATCATAACTGTAATGTTGACACTGATGGATCTGGCGACCCCTGGCGACCCCCAAAGGGATCGAGACCCACAGGTTGAGAACTGCTAGCGGCTAGTCCACGGTGCGCACTCAGTAAAAGTTTGCTGGTGAATGAAAACACGTGGCCATGTTTAGCAAGAAGGAAGGAAATACCCTGATTCTGATAAAATGTTATTTTTTCACTGATTGCATATATTTTGGAAAATACGCAGAGGCGGAAATTAAATTCTCCCATAACCCTCCTCCCTCAGAGCCAAGCTTTGTGAACAGCATAGTGCCCACAATTCCATTAAAGGCTACTTTTTAAAGGACCTTGGGTTTTCATTGAAAATTAGAGTATTACCTTCCTGGCCCCGAAGGTGACCGTAACCCTGGGCTGTGCTGTTTCTTTCTCAGCTCACAGAGAGGATCATCCTCCTCTTTGTGGTCATCACCAGTCAAGAGGAAATCCAAGGGAAATACGTGGTGTGTGTCTTATTCATCTTCTGGAATCTACTGGATATGGTTAGGTAAGACGTCAAACTAACCTCTTGGCATAAAGCCAAATTGCGTTCTACAACGAAAGCTGTAATAACTGCTTCCATTCGGTTATTCTGAATGAGACAGAAAAACATAACCCCTTTTGAAATTATTTGATCTTGATATGGAAATGTATTTTTAGTGCTTTCCATAATGGGCATATCAAAGATAATGAAAACCCACCACGATTTTACAAGAGCAAATCAGCGCATTCAGGATTCCAGCCGAAGGCTTGGCACAAGACCAATTTGGAATAAGCCTCCCAGCTGCTTGCTAATGAAAGGCATTCCTAGCGATTGCTTTAGTCCATGCTACTTTCATAAGAAAGGCAAGCCTTTGGCTATTTTATCCTCACCGTGCACGAAGTTCGTGTTTGTGAATTCCAAAATATCTCAAGGGTAGGGCCTCTCCAAACAAAGAGGCACTCCGACCAACAATGTTGTGTATGATTTCAGTGCATTCACAGGATTAGCGAGAGTTCTTTCCGGGATGCCCTGGGACCTTCGGTGAAGCCCTGCCTTTGCTCGAATGGTTTCCTTTTAGCTCCGAAACTCGGCGAGGAGATCAACCATTGTGTAAAACAGTTCTTTTTGCCCAGGGACCCGCATGTTAGAGCTCACAAACGAAGACTGTCCCTCCCGCGTGGAAGCTGTATGGCATACATACCCAGGACGCGGCTGCCCTCCTCCCGTGCCCAGCCTGGTCTCTCCCTTTGCTTGGTACACGTTGCAACGAAAGAGCCCTGCGTCTCGGCTGACGTGCGGTGAAGGCCTTCGTTCGCGTTTTTCAAGGCTTGGGGGGTTGTTTGTGCCACGCCTCTTCCGGTGGTTCCCACGGGGCAGCCCCTGGATCCACAGCAAGCAGCAACACCTGGGCTTGTTCCCAATGCAAATTCCTACACTGTAGCTCACACACACTGATTCACACACTCTGGGGTCAGGGCTAGCCCTTTGTGCTGACACACCACACCCTGACCAAAGGGGGCTGTGGGTGGGGTGCTGATGTATGTTGACCACTACTGCGGGCCACTGGCTCATTCGAAGAAAGGAAAGGACGTAGACTGCCGCGTCTAATACGGAATTATGAAGGTGTGTTTAAAAGCCGCTCCCACAGCGTGTTCGTTAATCCATCACGCAGGATAACAAGACTTCTTAAGCGGAGGGATGCCCAAGAAGGGTTTGGAAGTCACATTTTGATTTTGACATTTGTACCCCAGGTATTTACCAGTATGCCTATCTTAAAACAAACAAACAAAAACACAAAAGGAGCTGCTTGCTCTATAAAATGGGACTGGTTTCTCAAAGAAATCGAAGTCACTGATCAAGGAAACACGTAGCTATCATTTCCAGAGGAGGAGAGTTGGATTCTGCCTCTGCTACCTCCTGAGTCACCCGTGATCCACGCCAAAAGAGGGGTCAGAGCCACACTGTCTCTCTCTCTCTCTCTCTCTCTCTCTCTCTCTCTCTCTCTCTCTCTCGTTCGTTCTGGTCGGGGCATGCGTTTCCGTTTCCTCCTTGCAGCTCAGGACATGACATCCCAAGGTCTTTCCTGTTCCCAGGAAGCAGTGGCAGTGCTGTTTCTGAGCGGCGGTCTCTTCCAGGTACACGTACAGCATGCTCTCGGTCATCGGGATTTCCTATGCTGCCCTGACGTGGCTCAGCCAGACGCTGTGGATGCCGCTTTACCCGCTCTGTGTCCTCGCCGAAGGTAGGTGGGGCCAGCGGGACGCCACTGCCGACCCACGGATTACACGTGCGGGCTGCATTTCGACTTTGGCTCTTGTGGATCCCGCTCAGTGGCCTGTTTTCCTGGCATGTGCTTCTGGATGCAAAGACGCCAAGCGTCAAGAAGCCAAGTGGGCAGCAGCTCTGCCCAGGAGGGAACAGGCTGGGCAAGGAAGGAGGCAGCTGCGTCCTGGTCCTGACCGCCGTCAGGGTAGGCGATCTGAGGACAGCCTTTACACTCACCAAAAAGGAGCTTCACCTGCGTGGGGCTTCAAGAGGTTCGGAAGGAAATGGAATGAGCAGAGTGGCTTTCTCCCCCGTGAGCTTTTTTGAAGCCTCCACACCCCCTGGTATATTGATGCTTCGGGTTTTACTTTGAGGGTTGGGATTCAGTGTCCCCTGCTCAAAACCCTACCCACCGAGCAGCTCCCAGCATCCCATTCTCTCATGTACGTACATCAGCCCGGACTTTCTCAGGGAAGCCGTCATCCGTTCCTGAACTGGATCAGTTTTCACCAGCACGGCTTTAGGCCTTTCTTTTTCATCGCTCGAGTGAAGTAGCACACAGGGATGCTAACCACAGGGTCAACAGTTCAAAACCACCAGTTGCTCTACAGGAGGATGAGGCTGTCTACTCCTTCAAGGAGTTAAAGACTGGGAAACCCAGAGGGGCAGTTCTACCCTGTCTTCTAGGCTTGTGGTGAGTGGTAATGAACTAGATAGCAGCGAGTGAGAGGCCAGTTCTGAGTGGGTATTTGTAGGATTCTTTTACTAATGTCCCTTTTCCTGCCGTGCCCATGCGCTCCTTGAGTGTAAGGTTGTCGCCTTTTGTTTCTTTGTTTCCTGTCCCACCCCCAGGATGCATGGTCTATAAACAGAACGAATGACCGAATAAAAGACAACCACGAATTCTCTAGCTCAAGATTCAAACCATTAAAGTCATCCGTTTGCAAAGAGCTTGAGGATATTTGGGGACCGTGTGCTCCCTTGGGTAATGGATTTGGCAGCCTGGTAGAGAGCCTTCTGAAACAGACATGATTAAAGTTTTGGAGCTGAAGGCATGAAGAAACAAAAAAGCACGGGAAGGTTACTAAGGGGAAACATAAGGAACCAGATTTAACATAATGCGACGGTGATGTTGCCAAGAATTGGAAAGCCTATAGCAGCAGCCAGCCTATGAATTACAACCACATGTTCTCTAGCTGCTGATGACTAGGGAAAAGAAAAGGAGCTTAAATGATAGGAAATCATATTAGGCAGAAGGAATTGGGGGATTTGTTTTCAAAAGGAAGACTTGTTCAATTTTAGGATCGACTGTACCAAGAGACTCTAGAGGAGACTCTTGAAACCCATGGAAGACCTGTGTGTCCCTTTATTTGAGAATGAAACCCATCATTCATGACTGTTATTTCCTAAGAAATGTATGGGATAAATAGCTAAAGCAGCGGTTCTCAACCTGTGGGTCGCGACCCCTTTGGGGGGTCGAACGACCCTTTCACAGGGGTCACCTGATTCATAACTGTAGCAAAGTGACAGTGATGAAGTAGCAAGAAAATCATTTTATGGTTGGGGGTGTCACCGCCACATGAAGAACTGTATGAAAGGGCCGCAGCATCAGGAAGGTTGAGAACCACTGGTCTAAAGGGAGGGGACAGAAAGATAACTAATTCCTACCTCAAACTAAGGGATGAGGAGGAATTTTCCCTTCCTTGGTTCTGCCATGTTTCTGCATGTTGATCAAACCCATATAATTGGATTTAATTTAGTTTATAAATTTATCCACGTCATAAAAGAGTCAGATGTATGCAGAAAGAGGTCTCAAAGCACACAAGATAAAATGTCAAGTGATTAATCCTGGGTGGTGGAATGTGGCCGGCTATACTTCTACGTTTACAGTGTACACAAAGGGTTAAGCATTCAACTCCTGACCAAAAGGTTGGTGGTTCGAATGGACCCCAAGGTATTCTGGGAGAAAGGCCTGGCAATCTGCGTGTGAGCGGTCAGAGCCAGCGAGAACCTGAAGGAGTGCTGCTCCGCTCTGAAACACAGGGTGTCAACTAAGCTGGAGCGGACTCGATGGTCATTGGCTTAGTCATCTATAAGAGGGGGCTTCAAACAGTTCATGGAAAAATGGAGGTGCCCTACAAACCGTGTGAAGCTCCTTTGTGTGTGTGTATAAAACATTCCAAAGTATAAAAATATGGAGTTAAGGAAACTGACTCTTTAAACTGTAATTTCTTCTAATGACTTTGGTTTCCTAGCTGAGGGACATACGGCAAAACCCACTCTCATGTAACGAGTAAAGTCCACAAAGTGCACTGATGAGCAGCAAGAGTCTTAGGGGCCGCTCCTGGAACTCGCGACGCCCGCATGCTGCCCCTGGGGGTCCTGCACAGATGCTGCCTCCGCTCCGACCTGGGCACTGTCTGGCTCTAACACCGGTGCTCACCTGGGGACAGAGAGGCAGCTCCCCAGGGACCTTCACTCCCTTTCTTTCTTTCATAAACTTTTACTTTGGAATTTATTTTAGACTCACAAGAAGTTGCAAAAATAGTATAGTGTATCTCTGAGCACATTATACTGATGACAACGTTGGACATAAACTTAATCCCTTATGATTTCATTTCATGAAATGCTACAACAAATCTCACAGGAATTAGATAAACTTCCAGAGAACTTCCATTTCTTTTTATCCGACACTAGCTTTCTCTCTTAAAATAAGTTAGGCTTCCATTCCTCCTAGTGCATCTGAGGGCTTTTAGTAAGTACTACTGCAGAGGGCAGGGGAAGGAGCCATCCCCAGGCCAGTCAACTGGAGGGAACATGGCTGGGCAGGGTTTCTTCAGTGTAGGACATCTCTGAATCTCTTCCATGCTCATGCACGTAACGAAACACCAAGAAGAAACTTTCAAATGTGGCCTTTTCCAAATCATGTGTCCATCTCCCCTGTTTGAAGACACACAGGTATTTTGGTGACAGTGTTTTAAGAAGCACTGTGTGCTGTTTCGGTGTGGGCGTCATCAGGTAGCAGATAGCGAAACATGGGCAAATCACACTGTTACGACAGCCGGCTAATGTCATCAATTCAGCAGATTTCCACATCACACTGTAGCTTTGGCTAAAGGATTCAGCAGTGGCCCCAAGCTGCCATTACCAAATTCAAAATATCCTTCCACTGTGGGCACTTCAGGAAAGTGGCTCTGTGACAAGTTGCTAAAGAAATTGTTTTATTTTTATTTTTAAACAGCATTTGCCATCTATCAGTCGCTGCCCTATTTTGAATCATTTGGTACTTACTCCACCCAGCTGCCTTTTGATTTATCCATCTATTTCCCATATGTACTGAAAACTTATCTCATGGTGCTCTTTATAGGTAAGTGGTTTTTGTTTGTTTGTTTGTTTTGGGGGGGGGTGTTTTGTTACCTCAATTCTGTTAGCTTAGCCCCCATAAATTACCAGGCTTTTTGTAGTGCATCAGGAGATCGAATACATCACCTTTCCTCTGTATGGAATAAGAACAATTTTACTGGCAGAAAGTGTCATTGCATTATGTATGAAATACAGAAATAGTCTTAGACACAGGGATCCATCTCCAAACAAGACCTGGGTATCGAACTAAGTGTGACTGGGTATTTCTGGCCTTCTCGTCGACACCCAGTTTTGTTGCCTGTCCATTGGGACGTGGCTGCCAGTGTTTACTAGCCAGCACACGGGAGTATGTGCTAGATAGTCTCAAGACAAATGTACAGAATGAAAGCCTTCGATGGAGAAATTGTAATCAATTCATTTTTCCTCCATAAAATTAGGAAAAGACTTCCATTATTAAATGCCCATTCCTAGCTCTCTTGAAAATCTTCAAGATGATGGTCTCTAGCAGCTAACAGATATCAAACACAAGAATAGGTATAGTCAGAAGACAAATGTGAAACTTTAGAGGTAGTGGAGAGAACGTCCCCCAGAGAAAGATCCTGAGAGTGTAGCGATAGCTAGGCATATTTACTAAAATGGTGGAGGAGTTTGCTTTACTGTCCCCTCTGTATGAAGCCAGGCCTGTGTGTCTTGGCTGGTGCTCTGGATTCAGGCAGCGCTCCCTCTATATTTTCAAACTATGGATCTTTTTAGGGAAATGGCTAACCAGCCCTCCTCGCCTTTGCCTCTTCCTCCTCCATGTTAGGTATGTACTTTACCTACAGCCACCTGTACTCAGAAAGAAGAGATGTCCTCAGAGTCTTTGCCCTCCAGAAGAAGAAAATGTGAGGCTCAGCACTCCAGCGACATGTCACAAGACGGGCCGGCTTGATGATTCAGCTTCAGCAAATACAGCGGAGGAAGCATTCTGCTGGGGAAATACCTTGTGCGTGACACGAGATCCTCCCTCGCGCATCCCCCAAAGGCTCTGACACCTCGCTGGGTTCCTCACACACTGGAGTGGGGAAACGTGTACTCAGCACAACCTGCTTTTTACCAGAGCTTCGCCTTTTATTCAAGTTACGTTCCTAACATGTGAAGCGGGGTTATTGGCCTGGAAGGTTAAGAAGAAATAGGCGAGCAACTGGCATAGATTTAGTTAAATTGGGAAACCCAAGTTGATGACCTCACACGTTTATTTTTAGCTCTTTCGAAGTTGTAGAGATTTGTAGGAGGAGTGGGACGTAAAGCAGTTGTCCAGAATATTGTGCTTCACAGACTGATGTCATTAGCCACATAGCTAATCATTCCATTCCCACCTGAAGCAGTCGGCAAGATTAGGAAGTTATACATTCAACTTTGAAAGAGCGTTCTAGAACATCACGTAAGTTATTTAGGCTTTGTTATGTTAAGAGAGGACCTTGATGAAAATACCTTTGAGAAATGAACAAGAAATGCCTGGTTCCTTTCAGAAACCAGGGTGCACACTTCCCTTACAGGGCAACCAAAAGTATGGAATGATAACCATTCACGATAGGTAAGGAAATGAAGAGCTGGTGATATTTCAGAGTATTCATTAATGAATCTGTACCCCCAATTGCTACCGAGTCATCACTCTCAGTGTTGAAAACTGCTCTTTTCCTCGAAGCTCTGAAATACAATGTGAAAAATTGGACCAATTGGATCATTTACATATCATCAGTGTAGCATCCACTTTTCTTGAAAGAGATTTTCTTACCCACTAACGATATAAAAACATAAGTACATTATTTCCACATGAAAACCAGGCAATAAAATTGTAACTCTAAACAACTTGGCAATCTCATTTCTACTAACTAGAAGATTTGGGGGGAAAAATGAGTATTAATAAAGATTCTTAACACCTATCAATTTAAGGGTACACCTGGGATTTAAAGTAAAGAAGTATTAAGTAAAATCCTTTAAAAGCCATATTTTATTTTGATTTTAAAACTGCTTATTCTACTTCTCTCTATATTTTTTAAGTTACTAAAAGCCTTCGTGTGCAGAGAATGCCTTTGTAAACTTTGGAAATTTAGTCTGGCTTCCTGCCAATGAAGATGCCTACAAACATGGCCAAACCATAGACCTAGAATTACTGAAATGAAGAGAAAGAACTAGAGAAACTACAGTTTACTGGATAAGTATTAAAGTTTAAAATTTTAAATTGTTCCTTCCACCCTCCCCCTGCCCCTCACCCCCACTATCATTATCCCAGTTCTACCTTACAAATCTGGCTAGACCAGAGGATGTACACTGGTACAGATAGCAACTGGAAACAGATAATTCAGGACAGATGATCCCTTCAGGACCAGTGGAGACAGTGGCGATACCAGGAGGGTGGAGGAAGGGTGGAGTGGAAAGGGGGAACCAATTACAGGAATCTACATATAACCTTCTCCCTGGGGGACGGACAAAACAAAAGTGGGTGAAGGGAGACATTGGACAGTGTAAGATATGACAAAATAATTTATAAACTATCCAGGGTTCATGAGGGAGGGGGTAGTGGGGAAGGAGGGAGAAAAATGAGCTGATGCCAGGGGCTTAAGTGGAGAGCAAATGTTTTGAGAATGATGAGGGCAATGAAAGTACAAATGTGCTTTACATAATTGATGTATGTATGGATTTTGATAAGAGGTATATGAGCCCCCAATAAAATGACTTTAAAAAGTTTAAATTTCACTATTGAACAATAGCTTAATTTTAAGAAGTTAGAAATATTTCTACTTGTTAAGATGAAAGGCTAACAGGAAGCACAGAGGAAGTTATGCTTGCTATGATTTGGATGGAACGATGAGGCTGACAATAAATTGATAGATGTGGTAGCTGTTACGTACTATTAAAAACTGAGGATCCCTGGGGGCAAAGTGGCTGAGCACCCATCTGCCAACTGAAAGGTTGGCAATGTGAACCCACCAGCTGCTCCGTGGGGGAAGGACTGTGGTGAGCAGCTTCCAGAAAGATTACAGCTTTGGGCACTCGATGGGCACCTCTGCCCTGCCAGACTCTACCCTGTAGAGTCCCTGTGAGCCGGAATCCACTTGATGTCAATGGGTTGGTTTGGTTTGGAAAAAGCCGCTGGTAGCTCCAAACACCACCACGGTTGGTTGTCTATATTTATAATAGAAAAACTCCATTTCATTAGAGGCTAGTGAAAGTGTATATTTTATTCCCCATTTAAGTTCCACTTTTCCAGGTTATGAATTTTAGGCTTAGCAAAATATTCGGTTCATTGTTTGGGCCGAGGTTTTAACTGCATGTCCAGCAAATCCCCATTTCATTTTACACAGTGTGTACAAAAGCTGCCCTTTCTCGGAATCTTATTGATAAAGATGAATAGGAAGCATTAGGTACTTTGAAAGGACTAAGATCATTTTTCAGATGACCTGTGTTTGGAATTTGCACGTGGCGTGGCCTTGTGTGCCAGTTCTGGTAAGCCAGCTAGAGAAGGGCAATCCACAGCATGAGTGCCTCTGGTACAGAGGGAGAAGCTACGCAGGCGTGAAAGGGCACTGCTTCACAATTGCTTCAGGAACGTAGCACTCCGCGAAAGGCTGCCGAAATGAAACAAGTGAGATCACCAGAACCCTTGGGCTTTCTCTATATTACGATCGTCGAATAACTAACATTTCTTCCACACATCCCTGTTTAGGGTAGTGGAGATTTAAGCTACTCCAGCATGTTTTTTAATAAGTACTATTATCCTGAGCGTAGAGTTTTGCTTAACAAGCAGGCTACGTTTAGGCAAGTGAGTTGATTCCTAATCTGTGGCCTGAGTATGCCTACCTTCCATCAAGACATGCTTACCTTGTGCCTATAATGCGCCAGGCACCCATGACCACTATGCAACCTTTGTCAGGCCGCAGGCAAACAAGTTAATGACTAAGGAAGGAAGCACACCACCCTGAAGTTCCTAACAGAAATGGACTTATCTTTCCTGCCCCCTCTAATCTGTACATTATTCAGCCTACCTTGAATAAATCATCATATCTAAAAATCATATTTCTTTCAATAATTTAAGTATATATAAACATTCATTTTAAAAATGTTTCTCCAGAGGGGGAATAATCTTAGATATATCTGTTGACGTGTGGAGAAAACACATTTACATCTTACTGTGCTAAAGTCTAAAAGTGAGGGTTTTGTGTTTTCTTTTTGTCAACGTGATGCAATCTGTGATCGAGCGCCCATATTTACTATATACGTGACTCTGAGCTCTAGTTTCCTTAATCGGCCAGTTTTCTGAAGAGCAAATGTGGAAGTCTATCTTTGTAAATGATAATGACCTAGCCCTGGTGGCACCATGGGGTAAAGCACCCGGATGCTAATCACAAGGCCTGTAGTTCAAACCCACCAGATACTCTGAGGAAGAAAGACGAGACGCTGCTCCCATCATGATGCATGGCTTCTAAACCTGTAGAGGTCAGTGAGGCAGATGAGAGTGGGCTTGATTTTTTTTTGTGTGTGTACAGAAGTAGGACATTTATAAGATGTTGGCTAGATGCTTCTCTTTCTTAAATATTGATCCACTGACTCAAACTCTCTGAATATAAGCTCCATACCATTATGTCTCGTTCATTTTGTCCCACCGGACCTTGTCTGGTGGCACCAGCAGACACGACATGATTCACGAGGAATGAACTGCAACTGCTGGATAATTACCTCAACATCCGGGAAAAACAAACAAATACATGAAGCAAGCTATCAGACTAGCTGGTACTCAGAAGATGTTCAGGAGCTAAAGCCTCAGAACTAGACAGAGCTCCTCTTCCTGCGTGGTCGAGGGCTCACCGGAGACAAAGGAAGCCCGTCCGTGAGATGGCTGCACGCAGCAGCTGCAACAGGGAGTGGAACCCTAGCAGTGGGGATGCTGGTGCGGGACCAGGCAGTGTTCTGTTCTGTGTAGGGTCGCTCTCAGTCAGAACCAATTCAGTGGCACCTAACCATAACCATCAGGTTAATTAAGTTTTAATTATATTTGGTTAATCTCCAGGGGCACTTCATGCTCAGAAGACACATAGGGTTCCTTTTTCTTATTTCTGGTTTTTTTTTTTTTTTTGGTGTGTGTGTGTTCTGAAATAATCTTTTATTTTATTTAAAATACTTTTATTGGGGGCTCTTACATGTCTTATCACAATCCATACATTCCTCCAATGCGTCAAGCACATTTGCACATATGCCACCATCATCATTTTCAAAACATTCTCTTCCCACTTGAGCCCCTGATATCGGCTCCCCATTCCTTCCCCCCCAATCCCCCGTACTCCATCCCTCATGAACCCTTGATAAGCTATAGATTATTTTTTCTATATCTTACATCATCCTCTGTTCCTCTCACCCATTTTCCCATTATTTGGCCCCCTGGAGGGGGTTCTAGGTTGACCCTTGTCCCCCACCCTCCTCTAATCCTCCTGGTATCTCATCCTTTTTCTTATTAATGCGCTACTCTTTGCTAGAATCTTTGCATTGTGACTGAGAACAGTTTCTTAGTTAAGAAGCGTCTGTGACCTTCCCGGGTCTCTACACACATGCTGGCAGTCCTGTGCTCAAGGACAACAAGTGCTCTTTTCAGTGAAACATGAAAGAGATAGAATCCCTCTAACATTCCCAAACTGATCACGCATGTTTTGTGTTCTTTTAATTCTCACAACTACCTCTGAGGTAGAATTCTTATTTTTCTTTTCTTCTTTTTTTAATTTAAAAAGTACAAAGCAGAGCTCAGGAGACATCAGTGTTGTTTTGACTCCATTTCTATATTTATTTATTATTCAGCTGAAAATTACTTCATGAGTTCCCCGTGCTTGGCAGGAATTAGGTGAGCTTCCTAAACTGACTTTAAAATTGTACTATTTATAAAAATTAACAGATCTCATGCATACTCACAACTTCATAAATACTGGATACGTCCCACATTAAGAGGAGACTTCTGAGATTCCAGGGTCAGAAGAAAGTAATACTCCACAGAAAAGACAAAACCTATTAGGTTCTCCAGAGCCATGGTAACTGATGCCACTAACGCCTATCTGGTGATAGGGTGAAGTGTTTTTCCAAAGCGCCAAGGATAGTTAGCCACCTCCTGTGCCTGCTTACATCTGAAATACCACCACGATGGATAGGCAGGTCAGACTCAGAGACGCAGACAGGACAGAAGCTCTGGCTTTAATGAAGGGCCCAGACTCCTAGGCAAAGATTCGGATCTGATCTCCACCCCACCCTCACCCCATGAAAACAGCAGGGAGCTACGTAAAATGTTTATTAAAAATCGGAAACTGCGGTTTACTCTCTCAGGCCGAGTTACTTCAGGATGGTAATTGAGTCCTGGACAAAGTCTGATTCCTTACAGAATTATAGTGCCATTATCTTCCATGAAAATCATGTTGGAGAAGTAAATTCTGGCAATTGACTTAAAAAAGAAAGATTATTAACAGTCTATTAGTTGCCATGAGCCTTTGCGTTGTAAAGAAAGCAGAACGGTTTCGAATCCTTGCATGGATCCCCACATCTGCTCCAGATGTAAACTTTTCAGACCAAGAGTCCGGGTGTTTGGATACGTGAGAGACCTAACATGCCTTCAGCCCATCCATTAACTTGCTAGTACAGCCCAGCGGGCTCTTTGTCTTGGTGGCTTGTGCTTGCAAACATTCGCAGAAGACTTGTGGGGGAACTTTCCTTTTGTATATAGCTGGGAACATCTGGCCTGAAATAGCAGACTTCTGGTTTTAGAAGAACAAATAAATAGCCCGAGGGAGCAACCTCATTCTGCTCTGTGGCCAGACAGATAACCAGAGCTTGGGGCTTCATCATTCCCGGGGCCTACTTCAGGATGTTAAGGTTTTAGAACCTTTAGCCTTTAGCATCTCGCTATTGAGGATCTGTAGAGGGGTCCCGTGAATCGTATCATGGGGCTTGTGGAAAACAAACCTCGGGCAGGTAGGATGCAGAAGTATCTTATTTGCTCTTGTATAATTCTATTATATAAGGAGCTCTGGTGGTATAGTACTTATGCCTTGGGCTGTGATCCGCATGGCTGGCAGTTCGAAACCAGAAGCAGCTCTGTGAGTGAAAGACCGGGCTTTCTACTCCCGTCAACTGCTACAAGGGTCGCTGTGACTCAGCAGTGACTCGCGGGCAGTGGGTTTTGTTTTGTTATCTTATATAGGTTTGTTATGAGATGGGAGGGTCTCGATGACCAGAATGTGAGCGACATTTTATCAAGGGCAGGACCCGGGGAAGAAGTGGACATCCATGCTTGCAAGGGGACCCAAAGCCCTCAGTTCAATGTGAACCGTCCCAACTCCAGAGGTGGAGTCATATGGGCCAATTTCCTTGCTTGCTTACAGCGCTCTAAATGTCTACGCACACAAGAGGGCTCATCCTCAGCAGGAGTTTTCATCCTCCTGTGGGAGCCTCTGATGCAGAAGGAAGAGCTCTGGATCTAGGGGTCTAGATCCTTGGTTTTAGGTCTGGCTTTCTCATGTATTGGCTGTTCCTTTTGTTTTGACATCCCAGATACTAACTACGTCCTCCTCAGCAAGGCTGTGAAAGTCACAGAGGAGGATACAAGGGAAAGCTCTTGTGCACGTGCAGTCAGGGCCTTCCTCTTCTTGTGCTGCCCTGCTGGTTCACCAACCATGATGCCCTTCGTCAGGGACTGGCCTCTCCTGACAACAAGTCCAAAGTGTGTGAGACAAAGTCTCAGTCACCTTGTCTCTAAGGAGCACGCTGGCTTGTACTTCTTCCAAGACAGCTTTGATGGTTCTTCTGGCAGTCCATGGTACCTTTGCCAGCCCCCCATACTTAACCATATCCGTTTTCTGTTTCCTTATTCGTAGTCCAAATTGTATACACACACGAGATGGCTGAAAACAGCATGGCTTGTATTAGCTGCACCCTAGCCTTCAAAGTGACCCCCTTGTTCTTCAACACTTTAATGAGGCCTAGTGCAGATTTGCCCCGTCAAAATGTTGTCTGACTCTTTTGAGGCGGATTGCAGAGCCAATTAGAGGACGGAGTCCACATTTTCTACTTTCCTGCTGCTTTCCAATTTCTTTGGGTCTCTCCTTGAAGAAAGTAATACTTACAGGGACCACTGGGAATTCGGGTAGATAGAGCCTGGGAGCTTCCCTTCCTTCCCTGATCTGTAAGCATCTCAGCACCCTATGGAGCTCAGCAAACAAAGACCTGCTGTCAATCAAACACCTCTGATATCTGGAATCATAAATCCAGCTATTTGGAAAGAAAAATCAGAAGTTATTTTGGGGACAACATGCCATGCATGCCACACATTAGAACCCTAGAAGCTCCGTGGTACAGAATCAAGCACGGTGCTATTGGGCAAAGGCACATTATTCCATTGAGACAAGTTCTCTTTCCATTATTCCAGAGCTATATATGAGGGGGTGTCAAAAATATCCCGGAAGTTTTTTCAAAGCTATGCATTTAAATTTTTTTTTTACAAAACAACCTCATCACCTTCAAAGTACTCTCCATTACACTGGATACATTTGTCAAATGTGGAAACATTTTTCAAACTCATCTGTTTGGATGGCTGACAGCACCTCCCCTGTTTATTTCGTCATCTATTCTAAGTTGTCAAATCACTGTCCTTTCATTTGTGGAAACAAAAAGAAGTCACATGGAGTGATGTCAGGTGAGTAAGGTGCGTGAGGCAAGAGACACATGTTGCCCAAAACTGGCACACTGAGATGGCTGTGTGAGCAGGTGCATAGTTGTGGTGGCAAAACCAGGCTACTGTCTGCCACAAATCAGGCTTCCCCATACCCCCACACTGTTATGCAACCTTTTCAGAACCTTTAAATAGGAAGCTTGATTAATAGTCTGACCTGGTGGAACAAACTCCAAATGCACTACTACAACTCTACATTTATGTCCATTCGGGAAGTTGATGGATGAGGTTTGTAATCAATTGATATTTTACCTTTTTCGAAATGAGAAAAATACTCATACACTTGAGTTTTCCCCATGACACTGTCCTCAGAAGCTGTGTTCAACATCGTAACAGTTTCTGTGGCATTTCCCCCCAAATTTCACAGCTGCACACAGTTCTTTTAAAGCTGCTACCACAAAAAATTTCATGGTTCAAAATCATGTCACTTGAGTCACAGTGTATTTATTCGTAAAAGCAATTTTCCTAACGATGGAGCCTGGATTCATGGCTGCAGGTAGGAAAGATAATCCCACAACAACAACATCATCCAAAACCCAACAGATCAGAATGAAAATGCTGGCTCAGTTTCACGTCCTTGTGTAAAATGCAGCACCTGAGGGTACTGTCCCCCTTCATTTGCTTGTCCTCCGGCCATCTGTCCATCCTGATGGAGAGACTTGTACTTAAAAAAAAAAGGCTGATCACTAGACACTTGGCATTTTCCTCGGCCCAGCACTGCATCCTCTCTTCTCCATGGAAACCCAGATCATGTGGTTTGGGTGGGGCTGCGTCTGCCTCCCTAGACCCAAGGTCGTAAGAGGGGGGATACGATCCTCTCCAAAACACAAACACAAAACCCAGCCAAACTCATTGTCTTGGAGTTGATTCCGACTTGCCACCAGGGCTCCTACCGGCCCATGACCCAGGTCAATTTGAGCTCCTCCCAAATCCCTGGCCTGCATGGTGTCAGACACTCACATGTGTCCTCAGCCTGGCCAGTGACCTTCCCTGTTGTTTCTGCCATACTTATGGACGAACACTCCCCCACCCCTGGGGAGCGTGTGGTTTCAAGGCTGTTGGCAGCCATCCGGCCAACTCTGTGGAGGGATCCTGAGAGAGACAAAGCCTGGGAACACTGTTGATTCCGTGGATGCAGCTGTGCCCGACCAGATCTACCCTTGAGCACCTCCTCAGGGGACCACTCTTCTTTGCTGAAGGGATTCTGAATTGGGTAACCTTCACTTGCATTCAAGAGAACCAAGCCATAAAGAAATGATTGCCCCCACTGATGAATCTGCTTCCAGGAATGGTCAATGCCACACTTTTTATTTAAACACGGAGAGTGGTTACAAGGTAGCATTTTATCAGTTTTAGTCTTAAAACGTATCTAACTCACAGAGTTAACGACTAGCCCTAGAGACTCCATGAGAAATGGACCAGGATGCCTCTGTCACTAGAGTTGGGTTTTGCTGGTGAAACCTTCTTTCATGCCTCCAAGCAAATAAAAGTCAATACAAGAATTTGCCAGATAATTTTACTGGAATTTAGCAGGGCAGGCAGTTATATTAATAATCAAGTTTTCATAACGAAAAGTTCCTGGTTGGACTGTAGCCCAGTAAGAGAAAACTCAAGTTCCCAGTCAGTCTCCACTGGCCTGGAAGTGAAGTCGTGCCCTTCTTCTGGTGGCACAGATCAAGTGGTGATGGTGGCCACTCCTAACGCTGCATGTCCGTTCTCCGACGACACTCCTGGAAACAGGCCTTCCATCGCTAAGAGGGCTTTGCTCACCCAGATGAGAAGGACGCTGGCGCTGCACACGCAGTCACCACCCATATGCTCTGCTCCACACGGCTTTCTTCTTAAACTCCGGGAGAACTCTCAGTGACAGGAGGGCAGCTGCGGAAACAAGGAATTCAGCGCACAGTCGCAGTTAGTGGCACTGCACGTACAGGAAGGACATTTTGGTCAGAAAAGGTGTCAGAGGTGAACATGACTTCTTCTCACTTGGCTAACCTTAAATACTTAAGGATCCCCATGAGAAATCTTTGGTGGGATTGAAAAAAAATCATTTTATTGGGGGCTCATGCAACTCTTATCACAATCTATATATACATCAATTGTGTAAAGCACATTTGTATATTTGTCACTCTCATCATTCTCAAAACACTTGCTTTCCACTTAAATTTGGTGGGATTTTAAGGGCAGAGCACTCAATTATAAAGGTTGGGGGGAAAGTTTTTTGTTTTTTTTAAGTCACACAGCAACCAGTCAATGAGATATTCCGCAGAATTTAAACAAACAAACAAACTTGCAGCAAGCAGGACTACTACCTTCTATTTGACTCTGTACTCACAATTACCCACCTTTTCTTATTTGCGTGGGTCCCTCAGGGAGCAATTAAAAGAAAGAAGGTCCTATGTCATTCCTTATGTAATCTATTATGTATCTTATTTTAGAATATCCACATAAAGATATTGAGGTGTTATTTGAAATATAACAGTGTGAGAGAATGTAGGTAAGCCAGAGTTACACAATTGTGTGTGATTCTAACAAAGCCCTTGGTGACGTAACCAAGTAAACGTACTTTTTTTGACCCAAATGACTGTCTCCTCTCCAGCATCGAGACAATACAATTTGGTATAAGTATGGTTGATTCAGACCATGAAAAATCAGTCCAACAATGGATTGCTATAAGAGCTGGAAATGACCCCAATAAATTTTTTTAAAAAGGGAAAATGAGTCCAAATTTCCTAAATATAATGAACATAGACCATGTGAACAGTGAGCCTCCAGGGAAGGATCAGGTGCAAGTGTGTGGTCTGGGGTTATCAGAATCACCTGACACACAGGCCGCCCTTCTCACCTGGGGGCGGGGAGACGGATGAGAATCAGTAGGTTAAGGAATTCTTGTTCTGTGAAAACCACACCAAACTGACAGTCTACTGTGCTTATGCTGTGACTGCCGGATGAATGATGACGCACCAAGGCGCCCAGGCAGTTTTCCAGAGGGGACCCCTCAGTGCAGCATCTCCCAGCACGTCAGTGGCATCATTTAGGCTCTGAACCTTAAGGTCCAGGACACAGAGGACACGTACAAGCTCCCTGAGACCAAAGGGCCAATGTCCAAACAACTTCTTCGCTTTGAGTATGAGTCGACAGAATTTTCATAGAAAGAACCTCCAGACCTATGGGTCCTACAGTCCTATTTCAACAATGTTAGCAGAGACTGATTACCAAATACAAACCAAACCCACTGTTCTTGACGATGCTGAGTCCTAGAGACCTGCAGGACAGAGTGGAACGCCCATAGGGTTTCCAAGGCTCTAAATCTTTATGGAAATAGACTATCTTTCTCTTGCAATAGCTGCGGGTGGGTTCAGACAGCCAACCTTTGAGTTAACAGCTGAACTCTTACATGCTTCCCCGGCTACTCTAAGAACGGTAAAAGACCCACAAAATCATGCACAGGTTTGAAAGCACAAGCAATGTCTGGTTCCCTTGGCAAAATAGTATTTATGCAGTTGCCAAAAATAGTATTTATGAAGCCAGGGAAAGAATAAAGTAAAAGCCTTTTGGAATAATGCTAAAAATAAGAAGAGCGGTATGCAAATAGTCTATTTGTAAATGATTAGAACTGTGTTAAAATAATACTCATATACCAAAAACAAAGACAATGAAAACCAACTCACTGTGATAATAGTCTATTCTGACTCATAGTGACCCCACAGGACAAGGTAGAATTTCCCCTGTGGGTTTCTGGGACAATAACTCTTTAGGGAGTGGAAAGCCTCACCTTTCTTCCATACAGTGACCAGTGGTTTCGAACTGCTTCCCTTGTAGTTAGCAACCCAACACTTAACTACTATGCCACCAGGGCTCATACACAGAAGAGGCAAATATACTTCTTAGGGAAAAATATTAGAGCTGTCCTTGAACAATGGGACTTGGGCTCGTTGCTGCTTCATCATTTTAGTTTTAAGAATGACTGTACTTCTAATTAAAATTATATTTTGTAATTATAATAATTAAAAATATTTAAGTTAAATGTAACAGCAATGGAACTCTTTTTAATCTGCCTTTTGGGTTCAAACTGCCACCTTGGTGACAGCCTCAGGTTATTTGCCTGACCTTCTCCAAGATGAGCCCTGTCAGGAATAACAGACATGCTGCCCTGCAGAACAGACAACTGGATGGCTTTCACCTAGGTTGGCAAAATGTAAGGAAATGGTACCTTTTAACAGATCCCTGGATTTTGCTGAAAGGGTTTCTGCAGGGGTTTCCATGATGTTGAACAGCCAGTCGATGAACTAGAGTGGAGACGAAGAACAGGAAGATCAGCTAGCACCTTGGCCGTAATCCTGAGTGCTGGTGCAGTGGTCACCAGCAGCACCGCTCGGAGTGGACAGTGATGCTGAGGCAGGGAGCAGCTGGAAGGGATGGTCAGATGAGCTGGCAAAGCCAAACCTACTTCCCTTGGTATTTAGCAGGTATTCACATCTGAGAACGGGGCTCGGGGGATCTACTGTGAGCCATGAGCATCCTTTCTCATCATCCTGAGGCTCACTTGTGTGGGTCTACTGCCAGTGGACAGAAGAATCAATATTTGAACCCAACTGAAACTGGCTATGAAGCCCCACAGTCTTTCCTTTGTATCAGACTGTCTCCCAAGTGGCTCTGTATCAGCTACATGCATAGGCTAGGCTTCTGTACTGCAGAGTCAGTAGGGAGAAGCATCAGCTGTCTCCGTCTCTGACAATGAGGGTATTGCCTGTACTCCAAAAGAACAACGTAGGAGCCCTCAGACTTCCCAATCCTAAAACCTACTCTCCAAACTAGTCTAAAGCCTGTAACAAGTACAATGACGGCCACACAGACTGATGGACCAGGTCTGAGAACTAGAAATAAATCCATCCACTCATGGGCAGCTGACCCAAAAGGCCAAAATCCATGAATGAAGACAAGAAAATTTCTCCAACAAATGTGCTTGCACAAGAGGATAGCCATTTGCAAACAAAACAACATCCCAAGATCGGTACCTCATACCAGCCACACAAACTTTCTCGAGATGGATCAAGACTGAAATATGAAACCTCAACTATAAAAATCATTACAGAAAAACAGAGGCACACTTTGGCGCCCTTGTTTATGGCATACACAGTCTAACAAACAACTACATCTTGCACAAATGGAAGATAAACTAGATGACTTGAATCTCTTACAAATCAAACCCTTTGCCCATCAACAGACGTCTCAAAAGGAGAACATACAGGTGGGAAAACGTTTTGGCAAGGACTTACCTAAAGAGGAGCTAATCTCTATGATTTATAGAAAACTTGTATAACTCAACAACAAAAAGATAAGTACAATTTAAAAATAGGTGGGTGATATGAGCAGATACTTTACCAAGGACACCAGCCATCCACACATAAAAAATGATAGCCATTAGAGAGATACAAATCAAAACTATAACAAGAAACCACCTCACTCAATGGTAATGGCATTTTAAAAAGTTAAAAACAAACAAACAAATTGACAATAACAATGTCGGTGAGGTTGGGGCAGTGGGGCAGTGGGGATTAGAGTTCCTATACATTGCTGGTGGGAATGTAAAATGGTACAACCACTGTTGTGAAGACATTCCCTAAAAAACTAGAGAGATTCCACATGACCCAGCAATCCCACTCATAGGTATATACCCTAGAAAAACAACGACTGTGGTCCGAATAAATGTACGCACACCTTGTTCATTTAGAATTATTCACAATGGCAAAAAGAAGGAAACATGAAGTGTGCATCAGTGGATGAATGGATAAACAAACTACGGTGCAGACACACAGTGAAATACCACATACTGTTAAAGAATAATGATAGTAACCTGTCAGACAACCCTAACCTGGATCAATCTGGAGGACCGGAGGCTGATTAAAATGCATCAACCACAGAAGCGCAAATATTGTATGACACCAGTATTTTAAAAAGTCAAGAAAGAGTTACACACAGAATAGTTGCCAGGGATAGGGGACATTGGAGGGAAGATCACTAGGGTGTAGACACATAGCTGACGAAGGGAAAGAACATGCAGTAAGGGGGAGATCAGCACAACATAATCAAGGCACAGATTGAGAGGTACATAAAAGTAGAGGGCAATAATGGTAAATACATGCAAGCATAATCCTGCAATAACAGTAATAACAAGTGGATAGAGATATGTAAACTATAGTGGATACATAGATAAGCAAGCTGAACAGGTATGTGACATAACAGGAATACACAAGTGTGTGTAATACGTTTGGGAGAACATGTTTATAAATAAGTTCTACCATATAATGTAAAAATATATTTGTATGTGCTGGAAAGACATCCGTGGATATAGAGGATTCAGGGGCCAGGTTAGGCAAACTTCTCAGCTATAACTAAACAGCATGAGGGACCGAGTCACTGGGCTGGGGGCTGAGGACCATGGTCTCAGAGGACATGTAGGTCAATTGGCTTACCAGTCCATAGAAACAATGTTCCACACCTGACTGTCGTGTGCAGCAGCTGGGGTCTTGAACCTTGTGAGTGGGCATCTAAGATGCAACTACTGGTCTTTCCCTGCCTGGAATAATGAGTGAAGAAAACAAGACTCAAGGATATAATTTAGTCCTGAGGACAGATGGACCACATGAACCTCAAGGACAGGTGGACCACATGAACCTCAAGGACAGATGGAACACATGAACCTCAAGGACAGATGGA